CATGAAGCCTGGTCATTCTCCTGGTATCGTTAGTTGAAAAAATGTAGATTTGAAGGAAGTTGGAAGAAGATTATTAAATTCGCAAAATGCACTTGCTCTTGACTTCGATAAAATTGGGCACTTATCATATCTGCGCGCAAGCAGTTTCACCTCAAACTCATCTAAGACCACACGTGAATATAGAATAAACTTGCAAACTTACAGCTTCGCAGTTTGTCTGATAAGCAAAATAGCCACTTCGCTATAAATATCTTTGAAATGCCTTAAGTCGCAACGCAAGTGCAAGTGAAAACTCAATTTAGGCATACAATTTTCCATACGAACAGCAAATATTTTAACAAAATTCCAGCTACTGCTTTTCAACTATTTTTCAAGTTAAAGCGCAGTGCCATCTGCAAATTTTGGTGTAACCGTACGCGCGGTATAAGTGCGCGCAACAGCTGAATTTGAAATCTTTAACTCATATATGCACATAGAATATACTTGCAAAGTTCCAGCTTTCTATCTTCTCTGGTCCACGAAATCACTTCTCGCCAAAGAAATTTGTATATTTTTCCGGGGGTCCATATGCGAAATCTAGACGAGTATGAGCGAAGATTTCAAAGCGGGGGGATGATACATGGAGTAGGAATATGATCGCAAAATTTCAGTCTCCAGCTTGCCTAGTTGATGAATTTAAAGTAGGTGACAAAGTTCACTCGCTTCCAACACACCGAATAATCCCTCAAAAATATGCATTTTTGCTCACTGAAACGGCGCTATAGCGCTACACAGCAAAAACGCATAAAAATAATAAAAAAGAAAAGCAAGGAGTAAGGACCAACCAGAAAGGAAGTTTGAAAAATGCCAATTAATAGTTGACGAATATGATGACCACTGAAAAAGCGACGATTTTCTGGTCAAGTTAGCGTTGTATTGCATAAATCCTGAGGACACTATAGATAGTTTTGCTAGTGGATATGTTTTTTTCTGCGTTGCGGCGTCATTCGGGCTACTTTTAAAAGCTTTCATTTCGCGAAGGCTTGATTTTATGATAGCGTCAGTTTAGTGAAGGCTTTTACGGCAGGCTATCAGCAGCTGCATGCACGGTGATTAGCTTAGTTGTTCACGGACTGCATTTGATGAAGTTGGCGTTTGAATCGTATTTTTTGAAAAACGGAGAAGGAAATGAATGCACGAGGATTTCGTTCGTAAAAACCTGCTTGCTGTAGACGGTGAAAGCGAAACATGGACTATACTTCGTACCTTTCGAGCCTTAATGCTGTTAAGACGAGCTTGGGAATACATAGCG